TTATTTTTTAAATATTTAGAACATATCAATTACTTATAAGTTATAACGCATTACTTCGACTAACTTATTCTGACATCATGCGCATGCTGATATTATAAGTTCCTATCATACATTCATACTTATATCATTTATATACCATACCATCAATAATTTGATAGATCATACAATTGTGTTGTCCGTCATCCGTTTTCTGCAACAATAAAAAATTGTATCATCGTATATAATATAKTATTATTATTCTTATAAACATTGTCGTGTACATAATACTGATTGGCATGTGTTTTTGTTTGTCTGTTGTGGCGCGTTCCGCTCGTGCGTCCCCGACTGCGTTCGTTTCCGGTGAACATATATACAGAAAACAATCCTGCGATGAAATCCTGAAATCGATGGAAGCCGAAGCCTCCGAATTCCCCATCATTCAAATTCCTACTAACGGAGCTACACCCTCTGCTACCAACGATGGTATCCATGCATTCCACTGCTGCCAAACACAGAGATGCAATGGAAACCAATCAGGTCCAGCAGAGGGTTCCGTAAAATCTGCCCAAGCCGTTTTAGTTGCCGAATTGAAAAACACTGTTGCATCCCAAGTGATTCCTCTTGGGGTGCAAAATTCTACAGTGGGGGTGCCTTGGACCCCCGCTGTAGAATCTTCGGTCAACAACGCAGATTTACCWAACAACAAATCGGAGATCAATAACATAGAATTATCCAACACTAAGAAAATGAACGCATCAACTTCAGACTTGTGGCACTCATTCTTCTCTATGGGTCAACCAAATGCCCCGTCCGCCTTGCAATCGGATAACAGCTCCGAGATAGCCACATTCATTGATGCAACCACTCCCGCTATTCCTGCTGCGATGCCACCAACATCACCCGTGGCCGTACCAGACAACCAGGAGATTACCCACGATGGCACCGCCAGTCATTTGGAACACGTAGTRTCCAAACGTCATGACCGCCCAAAGGGTATGTAAAATAACACGTTGTATCGCCAATGTGGTTGTCTAAGTGTATAATATTTAAATTTAATAAAACTTTATATTTGTTGTTGCTCTGACGTGCTGTACATAATATATAACCATAATATAACGTGTTTTATTAATGATAATATTATACTACTTAAAATATATTATAATTCATTTTTATAATCTACAAATAAATTATATGAAAAACAATTTCTCACAGTTTTTTTTTWAAAWTTTTACTATGATGTCTTTTATATATATATATATTTTTTTTTTAAATTAAATAATTCTCTTAATTAACTACTATTGTAAACCCAACTTAATAAATTATTTTTTCAAATGTGAATAAAAAAAAAAAAAATGGTTTCGACCAACAAATGTCTTGTATTTATTTTATCATAAATATGTTGTAATTATATAGTTATATTTCTTCTGGGTATAAAATGTATTTTTAAGAACAGTTGTATACAGTAGAAACTGTTTATAATGACGTTAAAAGACAACAAAAAATAAGCCATATTGATCCGTTTGTCATACTCAAATTAAAAAAGAAAAAAAAAGTGTAATTAGAAAACATAACTTTATAAATTATCAAATATTAAAGTTTTGCAGTGACCTTTAATTTTTGTCATTTAACTAGGTATGTCGCTATAACCATTGTCATTATAAACGATTTCTACTATAYATGTACAAAATATATATTATATTATATAATAATTATAGACATTTCACATTCGCATACATATACACAATACACATATGGTTACCTATCTGATTATTGAATGGACCACAACACATTTTGT